AGAAGTCCCATTGTCCATCCACGCGCACCGTACGTGAGCGCGCGCGGAGCACGTGAATCACGCCTGATTGTCTCGCCTTCCGCAATCATAGAGTTTAATTGAAGATTATATAATATTAACTATCATTATGATATTAACCGTTATACTAGTAAATCTATAACATAATATTATATTATTACTTTAACATTGGACTATTACTTTATATAATACTGAATATATAACATAATGTCAGACTGATGGTATAACATTAAATTATTACTTTATATAATATTAAATGTATAACATAATATCAACTGATTAAACTATTATAATATTAAATGTATAATACAATATCAAACTGATATTGTAATGTTAAACGTATAACACAATATCAAACTGATTAAACTATTATTTTATATGATATTAAATGTATAATATAATATCAAAGAATACTATAATGTTAAACTATTATTCCATATAAGCATAATATCAAACGAATATTTACAACGTTAACTATTACTTTTATATAATATTAAATGTATAATAGAATATCAAACTGATATTATAATGTTAAATTACTATTCGATACAATGTTAATGTATAACATAGTATCAAACGAATATTATAGCATTAAACTGTTACTTTGTATGATATTAAACGTATAACATAATATCAACTGATATTATAATGTTAAATTATTACTTTTATATAATATTAAATGCATAACATAATATCCGTATTTGAGCGTATCGTAAAAGGGGAAGAGAAAGAGAAACGGGAACGTACTCGAAAGAAAGAAAAGAAAAGAAAGAAAAAAAATATAACGTATTGAGCTTATGCGTACGCGTCGGACGCGACACAACCTTAGTATTTTTGGTATTTTTAGCCTTTTTGTTGTTTAAAATGTAATAATGTTCTACCGTCATAAACGAAGAAAATAGAGAAATAGAAATAGATAAATACCGTATGGTACCCAATGGGAATCCGAACGCAACGTTTAGTAACATTGAAGGGGACTCGGAGAGAATCGACGATTGCAAATGGGTATCGAGATTTGTCGAATGGTCAGCGATCTACGACACGTTTAAGAACAGTTTAGACGTAACAACGTAATTTTGATAGATCGCGGAGTTTCTTCCTTTCACGTCTCTCCATCAAGTCACATTTTAAATCTCAGTATTACGAAATTCGTGTAGGAGCAAATTAACTATCAACAGGTATTGGAAACGATCTAAACTCATCAGCAACGATCTCGTGCTTGCATAAACTAACCTGATATATGTCAAATTGTGCAAACAGAATTGTCTTGTATTTACGACGATTAAAAATTCCAAATTTATCTTTACGTTGGCCATCGAATTACAATGGCATTTAACGGGACATCAAATTGTATTATATTTGAGAAGATATATAGATGTAAAATTGATTAAAGCGAGGAGGTTACTACATTTTTATCAGATTTCTTACTTTCGTACATTTCTAAAAATGTAATAATCGCGTTTGTATCGAATCTTGTATTTTTACAGATACGCCTCTTTGACTTTATTTCTGAATATTCGGAATATCGTTATATCTTTTAGTGGACCGGAAACGAGTCATAAGGATCGCACACGCGTACATTAATGACTCTAATATCATGGATTTTGAAAATATTGAATGTGATTATTCATCCTCGAACCTGTTTAATGTTGTGCTTATGTAAGTTTATCGACGTGTTTTAATCGATCTTAAAAATTGTTGAAAACTAATGATCTAAACTTGAATGAATTAAACAATAATTCCAAGATGTTATGTTTAAAATATAACATTAAAAAATGAAAAAGCATTTTTTGTCTTTTTGTCTTAATTTCTTAATCTTTAGTGATTAAAAATTCCAACGATTTGAGGATCTCGATATCTAAAAATCGATGTAGTTGCAAATACAAATGTCGCACATATAAATGTCTGAAATATTACGAAATATATCTATGGATCTAAAGATCTGAAAATCTACGATCAAAATTTTATATTTTCGCGCTTTAATTTTTCGAGATCGAATCTCAGGATCCAAAGATAGATTTTGTAATGCATCTCTCAGCGAATAATTATGAAAATTACACTTGCGTTATCTCGCAGACGAGAGAGCGGTTTCTCCCAGGACGCGCAATATCGATCACGTAAATCGCCACGTAAAAAGCTCAAGGTAGCACGAACGTCGGCGTCGCTGGTGATCGACCAGCTGAAAAATGTCTTTTGGTGCCCCGACGATTTTACGTCGCGCGTACGAACGCGTCGGAACTGGTATCCGGAATTCTTGATGTGGCACCTTCGTAATAATCGATGCGATTGTAAGGAACGATGCAACGCGATATTGCGAAGCGATAAGCGAAACTTCATCCCGGTAGCCCCCAAGATCTACTCCATCGGCTTGCATTCCGGTGCGAGAAATTTGAGCGATAGCGATAATCTCTCGAGCTTGTGCGGCGCGATAAGAAACTTTAGGAAACGTTTTAGTATCGTTCGCAGGTAATAATGTTTAGCCTCGATTTTAAGTTGATTTGACATTTAAAAAATATCGAAAAAATAGACATTTTTAAATATAACTGAAAAACTTTCTACAACAATGGACTAACTCGCATTTTGTAAAAACGGAGAAAATGAACTCAAAGTGATGCGAAAAAACATTCATTTTTATCAGTAATTTCTATCATATTTGGTTACGTTGTGGGTTAACCCTATTGTTGTAGCAAGTCTTTGAATTAGATTTAAATGCAATAGCATGAAAGGTTTGAACGATAGCGACCATTTTCGAGCTCGTATGGCGCGATAAGTAGAAGTGTGCGAATAGTTCGAATTCGAATCTGCAAGATTCGAAATCGAATAGTTTGAGAATTTTGATTCAACGTTCGATTTCGATCGCCTAATGTAGCGTTAATTTGGGAAAATTTGATTCAGATTCGATTCATATTCGAATTAAAGAGATTCGATTCGATTCGATTTCGAACATGTTATAAAAATTTGATTCGATTCGATTCGACCATGCAAAGGCTTGATTCGCACACCTCTAGCGATAAGCAACTTTAAGAAGCATTATCGTTCGCAGATAGTTACCTTTTAAGCATCGACGAATTTTAAGTTAATTTAACACTTGAAAAATACAGGAAAAAATATAGAAAGAAATTTTTTAAATATAATTAAAGGACTTGTTGCAACAATAGACTAACTCGCATTTTGTAAAAATGGAAAAAATAAACTTCACAGTAATACGAAAATACATATGTTCATTTTTACCAATATCACATATTTGGTTACGTTATAAGTTAATAACAAGTCCATTGTTGTAACACAAGCTCTTTAATTAGATTTAAATACGTTACGTCCAAAAGTTTGAGATCATCAATTGTCTACAGTATGTAATAATGAAAATGTCTATATGAATGATATTTAAAAAAAAGATATTAAATATTTTGTTGTTAAAATAGTTTGATTACTTTTTTCCTAATCTAGCTATAATTTCATTTTTTTCTGAAGACTCTTCCAGCAAACTTTTAAAATGGTTCACAGTTTTTGAAAAAGAAGGTTTTATGACTGTAGACCATTTTTTCGAAATTAAATATCTACCATATTAATTACAACTGTACTAAATATAATGCCTTCAATATTTTTTTAATTAAAAAAAATATTGAAAAAAGTATGAATTGAAAGGCAAACTTTTAAGTAGCGTTTCACTGGAATATTCTTCAATTTTACATGTGGTCTCAAACTTTTCGCCGATACTGTATACGTATATTTCAAGAAAGGGCATCGATTTTAAGGCGTAATTTAATCATTGCAAATATAGTTGTCATTGTATTAGTTATATTTAAAAGTAATTCTGTTAAGGATAAAAATATCTCGGCTTATCTTACATACAAGCTCCAATTTTGCTACAAACTTTAATTTTACTGTCCATTAATTAAGTAAGCGTCATTATTTTAATATTACATTGAGGAAACGAAAGAAACATGTTCACAACAATTTCAGACCTATGATCGCATGTAAATATGTCACGCAATCAACTTCAACGTCAAGCCTGTTAATAGACGCGTCTCTTAAAGCGAATAACACAGATCGCCAAGCTGTGGCAATTGATTGTACCGAATCGACGGAGATTACTCCTAAATTCAATCGAACCCAAGAGAGTAATCGTAATTCTCATCACAGCCAGTCACACGTACATGTCGAAAAGAACGAAAATACATCGGACACTTTGCGGAACGATCGTACCGCCGACGATCGTTCCTTTATACGTGACGACTTTAAGGACCCTTATGTGAGAGAAGATCAGAAATGTAGTAGCACCCCTACGACCAGAGACGCGCAGATTCAAACCTCGAACAGAAAGAGCTCGCGACGAAGGAAAACGAAGAGAAGATCGAAGCTGACGACCGAAAGGATCTCTCGTCACAGACACTGCGACGACGAGCCACGAATCGTCACAAATTTTCGCACCGGCTCGAACAGAAGAAACCATCGCGACGAACCGTGGCTACGTGTTCGCGTTCTGGAGGACAAGCGTGCCGAATATATCAATAAATTCACGGCCGTGAATCGACAGATAGAGGAGATAACAGCGGCGCTACGGGAAACCTGCTGCGATGGCGAGAACTCGCGAGATAATCTCGAGAATTGTGACGAATACTTTTCATCGATATCCGACGACGCGAAAGTAAATAGTATGGTGGTAAATTGGAGTGGCGTCGACAACAGGTCGACAATTGCGAGAGAAAGAAACACATCGAAGGAGAAGAGCGGTTCGGTAAACGTTAAAAGGATCGTCGGAGAATCGAAAAGCGATCGACGGAAAAATGTATGGAAGATTTTGCACGTTGGTAATCTCAATAATGAAACGGTCTCGTTTCCAAAGGATTCTATTGCTGCCTCAAGAAATCCTGAAAAAATTCCAAACGATGCTTTCAGATGTGATTCAGTTCGATCGACGAAGGAAACAGTTTATACTTCAAATAGAATTTCCTGGAACAAGATGAAGGAAAAATGCCGCTTCGTCAAACCAATGTCATTTGATCTGAATGAAAAGAAGAACGAGGATGATGAACTTCGATCAGAATTCTCAATCGAAAATAAAGTTTCCGATCGAGTTTGTCTAAAGAATAATTTTACGATCTTAAACAATAATGAGCATGCGAAAGATTTAGCAAAAAGCCCTGTCGATTTAGAAGAACCGAGATATTGTAAGAAGATCGTGGAGGAGAAGGTAGGCGAGATGGCCATTCTGAAGGATATCAAGAAGAGGATCGACAGAGACTTCGACGATCCCCCGGCCGAGGTGAGCGAGAACGACACGGAGGACTTTTTCACCGCTTCCCGAAAAAGCAGCGATCTCGATCGTTATAACGTCACGGCCGATGTGACGATCGGGGAAGTCAGATCCACACCGTTGATCGCGTCAACGAGTCTCGACCCGGCCGAGACGCAGATACACGACTCGACGTCAATTAGCGCCATGAGCGAGCGCTCGAACAAGAATTCCACGCTTTCCAAGTACTTCTCCTGTACGCGGATCCCGAGCTTGATTTCGTTAACGGAGAACGAGGACGCGCTCGCTGTCGGGGCTGTGGATCGCAGTACAATTGACTTGCACTCCTATCCACATTCGAGCTACCATTATTACGACTTATGCTCGAACTTGAGTCTGAACAACCACTCGCTGTCGAACTTGGACTCCAATCTCGATCGTTCGCGTACCTTGGAATATGTCGTTCGTTACGATCCATCCGTACGGTATAAATCCTCCCCTAAATTTCTAATTGAAATGGCAAAGGAGCCGAACGAGATGATCGAGGATTGCGAGAGTTTCGCGGTGAATAAAAGTTACGAATGGCTATGTCCTCATCTCGGGGAGAGCGAGGGAAGAGGAAAGGAACGGCGAGCTGAGAAGCGGTGCACGGCCGACTCCACGCTGGAAACGTCGAAATCGTCGAGGTGCGTCGGTTCAATGGACTCGGGCGTGTTCAGCTCATCCCTGATCGATCTTCGCACCACCGAGGGCTCGTTCGACGCCAGCAAATCGAAATTTAAGAAGAAACGCCGCGCCGGAAAGCACGAGAGAAACCTGTCGGCCGCCGCCGATTTCGGCACGGACGGCAGTTGTACCGACGATACGCTCGATCGGAAGGTGAACGACGTAGTGAAAGATCTCACGAAGAATCTGATACTCTGCGAAAGGAGGGCGAGGATGAAGCTGAGGGCGAGAGACGTGCGTTACGTATGTATTTCTTCGCGGATAGAAATCTTAAAATCTTTATCGTAATTTCGGTGGTCAGAGGATTATCAGTTTTCTCTCGTAATCCGAACTACAGTACAGTACAGTATAGTACAATAGAGAAAACTCTATTTTAGATATGTAGACATAAGAAACATTTGTTATTTTCGGCCACTCAAGATGTATTTATCAAAAAAATCCGTCTAATATGATCAGGAACCGTAAGAGTGTCTTTAGCGCGCCTTTAATCTAATTCACAATTATGTTTCTGGCAGTCTCGACACGTCCTGTCGCGCGCCTGCAAGCTTAATAGAAATTTTTACAACACTTGCTGTGACTTCTTCTATTCGCCTCGACGGTCCAGCGAAGATGAGAGAATCGTCAGTATCTCCACGCCGTCGCTCTTATCGTTATCGGATTCCGAAATTGAAGATTGTGAATCGAGACACGTCAATATGTCCTTTGTTAATTCAAATGTATATCCATAATTGACAATATAAAAGGCGAAGCAGCGCTTTTCACACTTTTATTGTAAATTCTATCTAGTGAAAATTGATGTTCGATATATTTTCTAATTTGTTTATTTATCATAATTAATAATGTAATTATTTTTATTATATTAAGATGATTTTAATTGTTCGTAAACTGAATATTATATCCAACGATAGTTTAAATGAATTATCCCGCGTTTCCTAATAAAAAAAAGTCTATATATAAGGAAATATATATAATTTATATATATTTATTAATAAATATATAATATATATTTGTTAGAATACAGAACCGTAAGGCCAATTATTGATAGAAATCAGATTAAATACAAGAGCACTTGTGGATTAGCATGCTAAATACTAAGAGTGAGAACAAAGGATCTTGAGTTCAAAAAAATTTCGATTGGCTTCGTAAATTTTTCCGTCTTCTACAAATTTAAAAGTGAGATTAGATTCGCTTGACTTTATCCTTGGGTAATAATAGGCCCAGAAGGAGGGTTAAGGTTTCTAATGAATGCATAAGATGATGTGCATCATCATCTATTGTTGACATTCGGAAGTCTGAAATTTGAGATGGATTCGAGAAGAGCCATCACTCATTCGAGGATGAATGTGTCAGACTGACCGAACTGCAAGAATACAGGCTGTAAGGCCGATTATTGATAGAAGATCGGAGTAAATACGAGAGTAGCGGAGCACTTGTGGATATGCTAAATACTAGGAGTGAGAACAAAGGATCTTGAATTTAAAAAAAAATTTCGATCGACTCTGTAAATTGTTCCGTCTTCTACAAATTCAAAAGTGAGATTAGATTCGCTTATCCTTGGGTGATAGAAGGCCCAGAAGGAGGGTTAAGGTTTCTAATCAATGCAAAAGATGGTGTGCATCATCATCTGTTATTGACATTCGAAAGTCTGAAGTTTGAAATTTGAATTCGAGAAGAGTCGTCGCTCATTCGAGATGAATGTGTCAGGCTCTGATCGAAGTGTAGGAATATGAGGCCGTTTATTGACAAAACTGATAGAACTTAAGGCCGATTGATAGAAGACCGGAATAATTATAAGAGTAACTACGGAGCACTCTACGTAGGTTAGCATGCTAAGTGCTACAAATGAGAACATAGGAGTTCAAATTTAATAATATATATCATTTTATATATTATTATATATTGTTATATGCAGGCAATTTTTTTATTTCCTTATTCACTTTTTATTTAAACAACAATATGAAAATTATTTTTTCTGTATATCCAAATACAGATTATATATAATAAAAAAAATATGTTTTATGTACATTATATACGTATATACTTATATTTAATTATATATAGACTTTCTTTACCAAGTTATCATGTATCATGTTATCAAGTTATGTTGTAAGAGTAGAGCAATGAAAACCATATATCGATCATAGAATAATACGAATTCTTTTGGCTCGAGAGCGCAAACAGCAAATTAGCGAAGATAGATGATTCGAATATAGCGAGAAGCACTAAAGAAAAGGCGAGCGTGAGAAAGAAATTCTCAAAAGAGATAATTATTAAAATGTATTATATCCAAGATGCCTAAAATAATTTTTTTATAAAAGCGTGATTCTAAGGCAAGCGTGCCAATTGATCAAATCTGTTCAAATTTGTTGAGTTAGACACTTAAAATGTAAGTCCGATTTTTGATAACGGAGTTCAAGCCTTGTTGCGAACTTTTATATATTATATAACTTTTATTCATTTGAAAGTAATATAATCATTACATAAATGTATAATCTATTGATCATTCTGACATTATGTCTGTGGGAATGATTAGCGATTATACATTTGAAAGTAGTACAATCACTATAAATGTACAATCTATTGATTATTCTGATATTATATATGTGCGAATAATTAGCGAGAAAGGAAACTTTACAGTACTAATTTCGATAAAATGTAATAGCTTAAACAAGATATCGAGTATCAACGAAGCAATCTTTTTCAATATGTAAATCAACAATAGAACGCGATCCCAAATCACACATTATTAAAAGATAAATCATTATTTCTTCGATCGATGTAACACGATGATAAACTTGTAAGTGCACGACAATCGGCGGGTGACTGGTTCGTCGCGGCTCATCATCTCAACGCTCGTCGTTGGGGCGTAGGTTCGACCACATCATTAGACGATACTGACCGTTTCCGCGTTGCGGTTTCCTTTGAAGAGGATTGGAAACGCGCGCGGCACAGCGCGGCGGAGACCCATGCGAGCCAGCCGAGCGGAAATGCATAAACGAACGAGGGAAGTCGTTTCGCGCGACCGTCCGTCCGCGTGACTGTCAGAGAGGAGATTTTCCTCCCCCTCCCCCTCCTCTCTCTCTCTCTCTCTCTCTCTCTCTCTCTTTCTTTCTCTCACATCGGTCCAATTGGAAAACGAGAGGAAATGTCCGAATAAACGAGCGTCGCGAGCGAAGTGGACGCGCGATCAAAAAGGCACATCCCGGGGACTTTGTTCTTGGGACGGGAGTCTGCGTTTGATATCTCGGAAATGGGCAACTTCACCCTAAACACAGAGACGAGTGACAGTGGAGATGCGGGATACTGCGAGATGCTTAAACGGGACGCTCTAAAATCCGCATATTATTTTCCGCACGTGACGCAACTGGAACAAAGAACTTTTAGGGGAATTTTACTTTGCCCCGTAAAAAATTTTTTATAACCCATTTCTTACCCAGCAAACACCAAGTTACATGTAACGTACCTGTTAGTGGTAATTTCTTTAAAATTAACAATATAACAAATAACACACATGTGTTACATTATAATTTGCTGGATACATATTCAATTTCTATTTACGTAATTATAAGTGAACTTCGATATCTCCCTCTTGGAAATATCGCGAAAACGTCGCGTATCTTTCTTTCCCTCCCTCGTTCGTATCTCCGTACATAAGTCGCTATAACAATCGCGTTCCCGCGCGTTTTCCCGTTTTTCGAGGGGATGGGAGGTAGGGGGTCTTACTCGACGAGATCTCGGATGCGGAATTTAATCGTCCACGATCCTGTGTCGCGCGTGGTAGATTCCGGATACGTCGTCGCGTCGAATTATCGCGAGGCGGTGCACAGACTCCGGCGCGGTGGCGTGGATGTATGTCCCACATCGCGCAGATCCGGAGATTATCATCGGGTGATACTTATTTTCTCCTTTGTGCGGGCCTCCGTGATGGCGTATCAAAGAACTCTTGGGGAATTAGGTAGCGCGAGCACCGGGGTATAAGGTGCTTTCCCGCGGCTGATCCTCCGTCATCGTGAATGGGAAGGCTTGCGGATTCAGAGAGGTACGTCTCTTCGTTCTCTCTCTCTCTCTCTCTCTCTCTCTCTCTCTCTCTCTCTCTCTTTCCCCTCTCTCTTTCTCTTTTTTAATCCTGTCGGGAAAGTAATTATGCTCCTACCATCTGTGAACTTGCGACGACGTGAAAGAGAAGAACATTCCTCACCGAGAAGTTGGGAGAAAAATTCTGCAGAGTGAAAATTCATAGCTTGTATTTTATATTGCAAAAATACATTGTTATTTCTATACTGCGCAATATGGAATGGTATGGTATAGGATGTCAGATCTCTATATCGCATCCTTGCATTCGTTTTGTGTACACAATGTACATTGGTCACCCGGCGGATTGTTAGAGAAAAATCAATCTATATCGGAGTTGTTGAAGAGTGAGACCCGTGACAAATGTGATACATCCTTTAGGGTCGGTTCAAAGTAATCTTCGCCTCAGGAAATGATAAAGAAGAAAGATTATTTTTGTACCATGAGGAGAGTGACATTTAAAAAAACTATAAGGTAATAAAATAATCCTTGCAAATTTACATGTCAAATCCTTCAACTAAAATTATGTACAGTCATCTTGGCAATCTTAACCTTCAAATGGTACACTTCTTTCGAGCGTCCACTACTGGAACACTGGTGCCGCGACTACCCAGCGAATAGCCGCGACAGATACTTTGTAAAAATGTCAACATGTCAAAAATTTTTGCGGTGCGAATTCGCACTCTTGTACCATTTGAAGGTTAAATAATATTTTGTACTTAGACACTGTGTTATTTCTTAGCAGTGAAACAGTAATAAGTATTGCGACCGCACTCGTAGGTGCGAGGTAATGTAGATGTAGATTCTTGTCTCAAACATCTAGAATGATAATGTTCTCCAAGTTTCTCTTTGTATCCAATTTTATCAAGAAGCGGATTCAATCTGCTGAGAATCACATGCTAAATATTATAAAACAATATTTTCATTGATTATAAAAGTGGATTATAAAAGCCTATATAAAAGTGGTTGAGAAATATTTGTGTGCGTATATGTGTATAATAATTATTAAAATTTTCTTAAATTTTTTTCGTTTAAAAAAGTGAACCATTATAATGCTAAAAATAATCTTTTTTTATTATTCTTGTACATATTTCATTCTGCGAAAATAAAAATAAATAAATATAGCAAATATTACACTTTGCTATACGTAGCAATGCGATGACATGTTATATAAATTTATTTTAAAGTATAATTACTGCGCAAAGTGTATTAGCATAATATTTTACCATAATGTGGTCCCCTTCGGAAAATGGGAAAATACTTGACATAATTTCAAGAGCTTTGAACATGGGATACCATGCTATAGTAGGAGAGATAGGCCGGCTCTAACCCAGTGCGGGTTCGCACTTCCGGTTCGAGCCGATTTCTACTGTGATCGGAGGTACGCTCACTCGGAAAGATCTTATTGTGAATTCCTCACGGGTAGAAGCAAGAGATGGACGCCAGGCACGCACAAGCGAGCCACTTTTCTCTGAATCAAGAGCGGTATCTCCGATCCCCAACTAATTGCTCGAGAGCTCAATAACAAATTAACAGATTTTCGCGAAAGGCCGGAATTTGCGAACAGCGACGGATTAGCTAGCTCCGATAATAGTAGAGGGACAGTTCGTTATACTTGATACGAGGCTGAGGAGAGCGGTAAGGAGAGTAAATAATTGCTCCTGCATTGTAACAGGAAAAATAACAATTATATTTCGGTAACTTC